TAATAAACTACTCATCACAGTTTTTCTTATAACAGATCTTATTTTTTTATTGAGGAGAGTCAAGTTGGGCTTTTCAACTTTAGAAAATAAAACCATGACAATATTACAAATAATGAAATTGTTACATCATTCACAGGGTTACAGTCAATTTACATTTATACAGAAATACAGGATCTCCCACATCAGTCACAGTGGTCTGAACCGGCACTGGTCTATTATGTGGGTTTTAACAGAGTAGACATCCCCTGACTGGACTGACCAAGAGCCAGTGTGCTAGTGGTGGTGGTGGAGTGGGGAGGGGGTGGTTTGGGACATGTAGAGGTAAGGTGGGAGCAATAGAGGAGAACACATAGTTTACACAGGACACCGTAGTGGYATGAATGTTTGTTCAACAGAGGGGAGAAGAAAAACACAGACTTGCTCTTAGCAGCAGCCATTATTTGTCCATCAGCAGCTGAAGTCTCCCAAACAGAGGAGATCTGCCTGCTGCTGTTTTCACAAAACAAATGGAGCTGAAAATCCAACTCATAACAACGTTGGAACACCTCGCCAGCAGAGGGCGCCCTGGCGCTTCGCTCTGCAGCCAAACAGGAGCCATTTTCTAGTTGCCACAAGAGGAGACAGGATTCTTGCTCTGACCCTGGGGTAGCTGGGTCGTGTTCAGATGCAGCCCGGTCGGGTGCAGCGGGGCACGGCTCGTGTTTTCGACGCTGTCACGTAGCTCGAACGCTCAACCACAGTGGTTCTCCTCTGTCCTTTAAAAAATTGGCACACGAGGGTGGGGGAGCTGTAGTTTTTACACTGCATCACAGATGTAAGAGGGGAAAATAATACACTGTCTTTGTAAAAAAAAACAAAAATAAATAAATAAAATCAAATGCAGTTGGCAAATGTGTAAAATCACCAGAGGCATCACTCACTGCCACACTGCTTCTGAGAAGAAAACTGAAAAGCTGGAAGCCGAAGACGACATGTGTAAATGGCACATTTTACTACAAGTTATATAAGTTATGTCTGTGGAAAGTTTGTAAAACCAAAAGCTGTTAAAGCGAATAAGCAAGTAAAACAAATAAAACGTAAATTATTTTCTTTTATACAAATCATTAACTTTCCAAGTGACCAAATCATCTGATATGTCCATCTGCATGTCTGAACCCTGTAGGAATTAAATAATAACAGCAGAGAGTGAATCCTATTTTAGTAACAGTTGAATCAGTTGCACATTTTTATGCTTTTTTTTATATTCAATTGCTTAAGTTAAACACGAGGGCCCATTTATAATTCATTGCTCAGCCTGAACAACATTAGGTCTCTTCTGTGGAATGAGAATTATAAGAAGAAACAAAAAAAAAATCTTACTAATCACTCCACAATTAAACAACTTATATTTTTTCAGATTATTCAAAGAAAAATAAATTTGCTTTCAGCCAAAAAAAAGAGTGAATATGATTWAAAAAATTAATTTCGGCAATATTCAGCTCTACCACAGTCGGCACACCCTGTTTAAGGTAATTCCTCAAAGCAAATGTCAAGGATAATTGCTTGATTAATAACTCAGAAGTCTTGGCAGCATCCACGGACAAGCATCCGAATGAGTTTTAATGAGCCTTCAGCAAAAAAAAAATAAAAAAAGGACAGAAAGAAAGAAACACCAGCCATGTGCATACTTGAGATTAATTTCTCGCACATTAAGTGCTTTTCCTGATGGCAGAGAATTTTTCATGCTACGAGAAGATACGCCAAAAACTGGGAGCCATTCCGTACTGAGAAATGGAGACGAGGAGACAAGGTAAAGGTCAGTAAAAACACAAAACATTAATGTCAAAGCATCCATTTCTGGTTGATTCCTGATTTTGACTCGTGATTTTCCTTGTTTGATTTTCTACAACATGGTAGAAAAAGATTCCAAGGTAATATTAGCTATAATGTGTCTTACTGCAGGTAATGTAAACCAAGCAGTGAACTGTGAAGCAAAGACAGAGGAAATGACTTTGACAGCTGGAAACAATAAAAGATAGACTGATAGTGCTGCAGTTTTTGAGGTTTATATTGTTTTTTTTTAGAGAAAGGTTTCAGCGATAAAGCCAACTACAGTTTCAATATAAGAACTCAGGTCAGCATCCGAGGATTTGGTTGGCGCAGACGTGGAAGCGTCGTCCAGTCAGGAGGAATCTCAGCGGCATGAGCATCGAGACAAGACACGACACAACTGTCCTGCTGTTGAATGTCAATACGCCTGCTGCGGTTAATGCGCTCAAACGCGCTGAGACAAAACCGGACAACTGGCGAAAGCCGACTGCGAGCAGATCAGAGGAAGCCGCTGACAGGTGGTCGACAGGCGTGTGTTACCAGGAGGACACAGAGGGGAAACGGTGCCTGGGCAGAGCGGCTGTGATCGGGGGGCAGTCGTCCTGCTGCGATCAGACACATCTGACCGATAGCTCACAGCTGGACATCCGTGTATGTCTGCTGGGTTCTCGGGAGTGCAGCCCAGCAGGATTTCTGCATTGCTGATTATCATTTATTGCCTGTGTGCATAACCCCTCTGTCTGATTCACCATCTCTGGAGAATCACTAGATCAACATAGACTCCATAATCCTCCGTAAAGAAGCCGTACGACAGGTTACAGGCTGCGACACAAAGAGTTGAGGCAGCTCTGYCCTCATGAGGCAACAGTTCTCACAAGAAAAAACATCAAAATGAATACAAAGTTCCTAGAAAGTAAAAACCAAGACAGTGGCTCAAGCTGTTGCCTCTGAGTTAGAAGGTCGCAGGATTGCCTCCCAGTCCGGGGGGGTCCTTGTGGGTGGAGTTTGCACATTCTACCATTTTTCTCCCTTAGACCAAAAACATGCACGTACGTTTTGATAACTCCAAGTATTCCCTAGGTGTGGGTWAGAGTGTTGTCTCTATKTGTCCCTGTGATGGACTTGTGACCTGTCCAGAGTGTACCCCACCTCACTCATTGTGACTGCTGAGACCGCTGCAAACCAAAAAAAAAAAAAAAAAAAAAAAAAAAAAAGGAAAACGGTTGGACAAATCCAAGAGCATTTACAAAGTGAAACTGTTTATCTACATTGTTTTGTGCACCAACATGATTCAATTTTTTTTTCTTTCAAAAATAAATGTGAAGCACTGATGGAAGATCCAGAGAGTCAGACAAGTATAGACTCAGTGCAGAAGAAATGCARTTCAGTTCCATGATACCCATACAGAAATTGCAATAATAGAACACGAACATCTAATTGTAACACCTGATGTGTGAATGTAAAACAACGGTGTGCGGTACTGAAACTTGGAACAATCAAAACATAAACACGTCTTTTCAAAAAGGAAAAATAAAATAATGTTGACTACAATGCAAGCGAGTCAAACCCAAGTTATCWGCAAACAGAATTTGAGTAATCGCATTAAATCAAAGCACTGTGAAATTAAGCACTCACTCAGCATGCTATCAAACACAAAGTTCTGACACTTTGGGAGCCACTGCTTCTTTATGCCCGTGTTGTGAGTGCACAACATGTGCATGGACGAACAGACRGCACTAGAGAAAAATAAAATAAATTAAAAAGCACAAGGGAGAATTCTGTGATGAAACATTTTAAATGTACGTCGAGTCTGATGAAAGCAGTTGTTTCAACTGTGAAAATCTCTGCGGGAAGTAAGAACAGTTCTTATTTTTTTTGTTTTCTTCATTTAGTTTTTTTTTTCCTTTTTCCACAAGTTTTTTTTTCTCACAAGCTACAGTAAGAAACTTAAGCAACTTAAGATGACAACTTTGTAAATCGTCTCTGCAGTCAGTTGTTCTGCTCCTGAACTGATCACTTAAAAAAAAGCCTACCTCTGAGTTGTCGTGTTACAACAGATCAAGTGCATCTGATATGTACAGTACAGGATCAGGTCTAAGGTGTGAAGAGGAAAAGTTCTATTTGGCAAACTGTGAATATTTCATGGTGAAAGACATTTAAAAAAAAAGCAAACCAGTCTTTAGTGAGTGGAAGCATGGTAGGAGGGGATCTTCATCACAAAATATTAACAATATAGAAAATTTCTTGCAGTGACGAAAAAAGGTTTTGTCGTCTTCTTCCTTTTCTTTAGCACTGATTTCACTGCATAAATTGGCAGTCTGATTTATTGTGGTTTAGACATCAGTCTATGCCACAAAATGTTCAGTTCATTTTTTTATTTCTTTTTTTTATTATATTACCTGTGGAACCACTTGGATGAGTTTGTAGAGTTCCCAGTTCTTCCTAGTTTGTCTTGCAGAAGGCCACAGAGAACTCTGTGTTTCCAACATAATGTCCATTAAAAACAACGACAATATTCACACCTTGAGGACATTCTCCCCAACTCTTCCTTCTTCTTCTCTTTTTTTTTTTTTGTTGTTGCCCTTTTAAAGGGTAGCTTTCCTACTCAGTTCATCTAATGTACAACTTTATATCATCTATAAATTTAGATAAACTCCTTTTTTTACTTATCAGTTTTTTCTCTCTTCTTTAAAAAATTCTTTACAAAAAATCATCAGAACCAACAAAACTATAATAATAATAATAATAATAATAATAATAATAATAATAAATGCTGAAAAACAAATAAAAGTGGTGGAAGAGTGAAAAACGAGTTGCTGGTCACTTCTAACCTCCCGTGTTTCTGGCTCTGAAGATGGGGCTTCGCCGTGGTCCGCCTGGATTCTTCCTCACACAGACTTGTGTGGTCACAAGGGAGGGAAACGGAGGAGAGAAGGAACAGGAGAGGGGAATGGGGGCTTGATGGGAGCCCGGTGGGAAGACTAGACAAACTGTCACGCAAAAAAAAAAAAAGAACGGGAGAAAAAAAATCCACTCCGTCCTCCACATCCCGAGCCCCGTGTCCTAACAGCCTTCTTTCCCCTCTGCTCCTCTCAGGAGGGTCAAACCTCCACTGACTGGATCTGGTTCATCTGTGCCCGCATCATCTGGACGCTGTTCAGGATCTTCTTTTGATGGCCTGCTAAAGTCACACCGACCCTCAGGATGTCACTGTGAAGCACAGAAACAGATGTCAGACTAAACTTACCACAGTCACCACACAAACCAACCCGTCTATACCCATACTCATCAGTGCTAGCATAAACAGACAACCTGGAAAGTGTTCATCAGGACTGATATATAAAGAAATGCAGAATCACAACAAAAGACACAATAAAGTATTTCTGATCACAGTTATTTTGATGCCAGAAAACCAAACAAAAAATGAAAATTAAAAGTCAATGTGTTTGTGACGGTACTTTATGTCACTGAGCCCATCAGAATGCAGCTGAAACAGATAAACATCTATTCCTCTACTTTAGTGAAACAGCCTTCACAACACAGAAGCAGTAGCATCTGCAAACGTTATTTAGTCACCGATGCACTGTTATTTATCCATAAAACAAAGTTCTCTCCCATTATGCTCAGTCTCATTGGTAATCACATTTGATGGGTTATGCATTGCCATCTGTTTTATCAAAAGAACTGAAGCTAAAAATCTCTCTAGGCAAATCTCAGACTTGTAATGTTGTTGTCCCACTAACATTAGTCATGTTTCCATCAGCGTTTTTTAATGCGCATTTTAAAGTATCGCATCAGAAAAGGTGAATGGAAATGGCATGGTTCGAAAAAACGTCCTCTGATTCGCATAAAAGTTCATACGCTCGCTTGAGGTGGTTTTTGGGTTTAGAATTGCATCTCTTTCTCTATGTCTCCAGACAGCAGTAACATCACCAGAACCAGTTGATATGACAGAATAATTACAACTTTCCCGATAGTAGCAACACGTTCCTGATAACTTCTCTCCATTGTCCTGAGATGCGACTTTTACTTCCTGTTTACTACACGCATGCGTCTGATGTAACTGATTTGCTTCAAGCCAGCTGATGTAAGTAAGTAAGTTTTTATTCATAGACCACCTTTCACAGAAATGGAATTCACAAGGTGTTGTACAATAATCATTAATATAGAAAGAGTTGATTGGCAGCAAGTGCTGTACAATAATCGTTATTGATGGAATATGTGATGGAAACACGTCTGATTCGCATTTCTTTGTTTGTTTTTTTTCCTTTTTGCGAAATTTTAAAAAATTCACTCAAAATTCGAATTAAAATTGGATGGAAACACGGCTATTGAACCATTTTTTTCAAAAAGTATCATGAATTTTTGAATTTTTTTCTGAAAGCCAATATTTTCTAGCATTTCCTTTTAAGTTTTAAACTGAAACCAAAGTGAGGCCTGTTAAACACATGAGAGAGAATAAACTCTGCTGTCAAGCTTCAAGCCGTGGTGCTCACTGTTCAACCTCGCAGCTACATCGTTATGATCTGAAAATCGCATCCAGGCCACAGACAGAGTCCAGTTCCTGCTAAAACTGTAGTCAGATAGAAAACCCAGTTCTTGAGATAGTTTTAACATTTTTTTATAGTTATCAGAATTTAAATGCAAGGCATCATCATTACTTACTCCATGGTCATCTGAGACACCACATCAAATGTGGAAAAGTTAGAATTGGCAAAGTTTTCTTTGTACTGGCCCATCTTGATGGCATCCAGCCACTCGTCCACGCTGCTGAAGGTGGAGAAGTCTGGGATGCTACGGTCCAATAAAGGGAGATGGACACTGTAGGGGAAACAAGCAGAGGGCTTTAGCAATTCAAAATAAAGAGTTTTCACATCACAGTCAGTTCAGACCACCTGCATGTGATTCAAACATGAATAATTATGTTACAACTTCAGAATGCTGGAAGGAACTTAGAAAATCCCACAAGCTTAATCCTTGGGAAAAAAAATTTCCAAACAGATTTCTCATAAAGGGTATTTTCCAAATGAGGTGATAGTCTTCAGGGAGCCACTGTATCCACTCAGTGTCTGTGGAAAATCTGGCCCACGGTCCTCCACTCTGGCACCAGTGAAAGTACAGAGAGGGATAAAAGCAATCAGAAAACTCTGGCTCTCGGAGCGAACTAACACCCAAAGCAAAAATGCTTGAAAACGCTTTGTTTTGAAAACAGTTTCAACCCAGAATTCGCCTGAAGCATTTCGTGGGAAGGATTGGATCTATCAAACCAAAAGGCTTTAATTTACATAACCGCTTGGCGCCAGGAGAAACCAGAGAGGCCGTTTGGCAAATGGGAAACGTGCCGTAGATGACACTGTCGCAATGGCTCGAATTTCACGTTAACAATGCAAAGCCTTTGCACTGAAAAAACCCAAGATCATCATACATTTCAGGATGTTATTCATATTTGTGTAAAATTACACCTAACCAAAATATCTATATCTCTATAAAGATAAATACCACGTGGAGAGTTAAAGAGAAAGACAGAAAATAGAAAGATTTGAGTCTGCTTTTTACTCACCCTGAAGATAAAGGAGTCATGGCCTTTAATGTGTTGGGATTGCGAATCATCTTGTCAAGGTTGTTGACAATCTGGCTGAATTTGGGCCGGTTGTTGCGGTCCTTCTGCCAGCAGTCCAACATGAGCTGGTGCAGCGCGCTGGGACAGTCCATAGGTGGGGGCAGTCGATAGTCTTGTTCTATGGCGTTGATGACCTAAGGGGGCAGACATACCGTATCATGTATATTACGATCTCATGTATAATACGACCCTCCCCTTTTTTAGCTTAAAAAGCATAAAAAAAATTAATCCTCAAACTACCTCCAATTTCATACAGACTTCAAGATTTTTCAGCCTTTGCAGTCTTTATACATATCAGTAAAATGATCATTGGACTGTTCATTTTATTTTAACAACATATGTACTAAAAGGTATTTTGACAACAAATACATATCAGCTGTAGCAGCATCATATGAATTCTGGCATTTTACACATAGTCCACCAGGAGGCGCCAACACAAAAGTCAGAGACTTCACATGAGATTTGGGCCATATTGTGGGGAAAAGCAGATTACTTCCCACTCGTAAGCGCCCCCTCTGGTGGGGAAACATTTTTTCAGGGGTACAAACTTTTTTCAGAACACCGGTAGACRGCAGCCATTACAGACAAACGTGTTTGTTGTTGTTCGAGGAGTGGCCCGGACACACGCTAATGTCATTAGTTTGTTATCATTACTAAGGTGCAGGACTACTTTCCCCTCCTTTTTCCACATCATGTCTCCTGCCTGGATCTGTTATTATCTCGCTCTGAAGCACGGAGGAGTGTCAGAGGTGAGCTCGTTTCAACTGATTTTTACGATGCGGTCTCATTTCCGCTCAATAATTTTGTGAATTAAGCCGATATTTCAGTTAAAATACATAAGTAAAAATATTTATCCGAGTATAGTACTACCCCCCAAATTTATGTATGATTTTATGGATTTAATTTTACTTATTATACTTCATTGGGGCGGCTGTGGCGGAGTGGTTAGGGGAGTCGTCCTGGAACTGGAAGGTCGCTGGCTCAATCCCCCGTCCAGCCGTCTCAGTCGTTGTGTCGTTGGGAAAGACACTTCACCCACCTTGMCTACTGATGGTGGTCACAGGGTCCGGTGGTGCTGGTGCATGGCAGCCTCGCTTCTGTCAGTGTGCCCCAGGGCAGCTGTGGCTACAGTGTAGTTTGCCATCATCAGTGTGTGAATGTGAGTGTGAATGGGTGAATGTCTGTTAGTGTAAAGCACTTTGGAGTCCGGAGGGACTTGAAAAGCGCTCTATAAGTTTAGTACTGTTTACCATAAATACGGTACTTCTTTTAAGGTGGGATTTTCCAAAAAAAAAAATCAAGCGATGGACTAAATAGTACAAAACACTGTTTTAGAAGATATCCCTCTTTTTTGTAAAAACTAAAATTTCATAAAATACCGCAATAAATATTTTAATTAAAAAACTACGATCAACAAGGTGGAACTCAACGCCACAGCATCGATTGGTATGCCTCCATGTGCCCTAGACAAGTCTGACTTTGAAGCAAATGCCAGTTTTATATTACCAATCATCATAAATAACTTTGGCCTTTGACCCTTTGTTGCCCAAATCTAATCAGTCTAATGGAGTTACTATGTCTATTTATAAGCAAATATATGATTTCTTTCAGGAGATATTGCACACAAGACCACCTGTGATGGCCAGACACCACACACATAGCCAGCCAGAGAACAGTATGGCTCTGGCCCCAGTGAGAGGAGGCATAAAAATAACATTCACTGATCAATATGAAGGAAGATTAATTATGTGTTATATTTAAGCTGCTAAATTTACTCCACTGGTTCCAAAGTTTAAGAATGAAATATCTCAAGTGTGACACATCTATTTATTTTGAGTTTGTGGCATTTCTAAACAAAACTTGTGCAGAGATAAATGTACTTACCAGTTTCTGTGTACTGATGTGATCCAAGAGGAAAAAGATTGTATAAATTACTAAGTTTGATTTGTTTTTTTTTAGAAGTTGTAAAATACCACTTATTTAATGTCCTCTCCCCATAAAGGCACCTTACAGAAATGTCGACGCTTGTACACAGAGGTGGTGCACAGTTAACAGAGGAGAACAACCCCAAGGATACTTGTGTGGAGGGTGCATGATCCCCTGCTCATTATCAGGGTCATTAAAGAAGCTCCATTCAGACTTCGATTAATCTTATTCACAAGACCTCCAAACGAGGACCCCGGTGGAGCAGAAACACTATCTGGAGCTGCTAATATGATAACTGTTGAGGTCCTCAGTCCCTCTTAGCACATTAGTGTTCTCACTTTCAATTTGAAACTATTTTCATTATCTCTCTCCCCATAATTTGCTCTCTCCTTCACTACCCAGAGGGAGATAGAAAATGGAGGCTCCAGTCAAGAGCAGAAATCGTCCACTGAGCACTGCTGTGCATTTCAAATTATCTGATTAAGTCTCTGTGGTGAGTGTGGGGGGGAATTTTCCTATAAAAACCCATGTGTTTAGCTAAGGGAAAGCAGATACCAGTGACCAAATTTGTCTCTGAGGAATTTGAGGCTTTAATGAAACACGGAGAGTCAGAAATAAATCTGTAGTGAGGATTTGAGTAACTGTTTGCGGGGTGGCCCCTAGGCTAAAAAATTAACAACTTCTGTGGAGAAAAAACAATAGGCATGTTAAACACGTACATCTTGATTGGTCATGTCCCAGTAAGGCCTCTCTCCATAGGACATGACTTCCCACATGACGATCCCATAGCTCCACACATCGCTGGCAGAGGTGAATTTCCTGTACTGGATTGCTTCTGGTGCAGTCCATCGGATAGGGATCTTCCCTCCCTGTGAACATGAAAAGAACAACCAAAGCAAGAGAGGTGAGACCGAAATCTGACCGTGACAGAGTCCTGGCTCAGGAGAGAGGCACAGATCACTGCAACAATACTGATAGTAATCCAAACTGGGAGGTGGATAGAACAAAACCTTTGGGAGGAAAGTGTGRTGTATTCAATACTACAGAAGAAAGGAAAAGAGAACCGGGAAGGGRAATATATTTGGCCTGATAGGGGAAACAGAAAGGGAGWGAACCTCTTAACCCTTTAATATAACCTACAAAACATCAAAAAGATTGTCTACAAGTCTCAGACACACTCTTATCCATAAAAAAGTACCTTAAACTTATTTTAGACAGATACCCCCAGGGAATGTGAACAGGTGAAAGTAAACCTTAAACATTTCATACCAGAGCACTTGTGTAAGTAGGATCTGACGTGTCATCCTCCAGGAAGCGTGAGAGGCCGAAGTCTGACACTTTGCACACAAGGTTGCTGTTGACCAAGATGTTTCGGGCAGCAAGGTCGCGGTGCACGTAATTCATGTCGGCAAGGTACTTCATGCCTGAAGCGATGCCACGCAGCATACCAACAAGCTGGATCACCGTGAACTGCCCGTCGTTTTGCTGTAAAACACACATCGAGGATACACATTGTATAAAGAAGGGTTGTAATGAAATGTACTTGAATATTTAGGGGGCATTTAATAWTATTCAAATGTTGTGAGTGAAACTTTTTACAGCAAATCCCAGAATTRAAATCCTCTAATTTTAGATAAGATAAAAGAACACTATGCATCAAAACCTCTCCTTTCATTGTGTGATCCATTGTTGTATAAATTACCTCAAAGTGATACTTGAGTAAAAGTACAAGTATCTTATCATAAAAATAATTTAGTAAAAGTTAAAGTCTTCTCTAAAAATATTACTTGATTAAAAGTCTTAAAGTATCTGATATTTTTTGTACTTAAGTATCAAAAGGAAATTTCTGACACAAAATCTACTTAAGTATTAAAAGTAAAAGTACTGAGTAAAAGTGAGCAGCTAGATTTTCCAAAATGACATTTATTGAAAGGTGACTTCTCAAAAAAT